GCCAGGGGATGGTTCTTTCCAGATCGCTGGGTTTGGTTTCCTGGTGATCTGGAGGTTTTACCTTCTGTTTCCGTCCCGGGTTCGGACCTGGGCCTTGTTTCAGGCTCTTGGGCCCCTCATTGTCTTCCCTCCGGCAGTGTTACTGCGGCTGTGGTCCCGCCTTTGGCTGTTCAGGAGGGGGTCCCGGGTTGCTCAGCGGTTGCTTGGGCGGTTGTGCGGGAGTTTGCACTTCGGCGTGCTTGTCTGTCCGCGGCGTCGGGTTTGGCTCCGGTGTCGGTTGGTTCCTACGGAGACTCCCCTTCCGCCTCTTGCATTCCTTGGGTTCCTCTAGGGATCTGGTGTTGGTGCTGCGTCACCAGCTTCCTCTTTGGGGTTTTCGGGGTTCCGTGCCTTGGCACCTCCCCGAGCCTTCGCTCGATGTGTTCACGGACGGGTCGTCTCTCGGCTGGGGCTTTGTGACCTGTGCTCACCAGGTCAGCCGAGGTTGATGGAGTCTGTCTGTCCATCGGGCTCTCAGCCCGGTTCAGGTGTTCATGGCTGTCTGGTTTGCGCTTCGGAGGGTTTGGGTCACTAGGTACTCTACCATTCAGCTCTGTTTGGACTGTTCTCTGGTGGTTCTTGCCGGAACCACAGGGGGTTTGGTTAACCGTGTGGTTCGTGTCCGGGGTGTGTCCTGCGTCCTGGTGGACAGCTGTCTCGGTTCATTCCTCTTCGTGGGTTGGCCAGTCGTCGCCGATTCGTTTTGTTGGCTCTGTTGGGCTTATGGACTCCTGGCCATGGACGTCTTCGGGTCGGCGTGGTCTAGGCGTCGCCTGTTTTGTGGCGCCCTTCCCACCTGCGAGGACTTCACGGTGGAGGCTTTCGGCAGGCCTGGTCGAGGTGGGGGGTACTTGTACCTCTTCTCCCGGTCCAGCTGTTGCTTCGGGTTCTAGCTCGGTTGCAGCCCATTCCCACGAGAACAGTCCTTATGGTTCCATGGTGGCCGGCCCGGCCTTCTTTTCCGACGCTGCTTGATAGGTGTCCGTACCCGGGGCGTTTTTCCTGAGGCTTCGCCTTTTTCAGCAGGCCGAATCGGTCCTGTCCGTGACTGGTTCGGCCTTCTCTTTGGCTCTTCGCGTCTGGTATTTTGACGCAGGTATCACCATCTCTATGGTGTTCAGGTGGCTTTGTTGACGGTGTCCCACCTGCGAGCTTCGTCTTGGAGACAGTATGACGTTTATTACGTTTTCTCGCGTTTTGTTTACCCTCCGGCCTGCTCATGAGTCGCCTGAGCCATCCTGGTCTTTGTTCAGGGTGCCTTCTTATCTTCCCCTCAGTTTGTGGTAGCCCCTTCGGTTTCAGTTTCCTCCTCTTTGGTACTGGTGGTAGCTTTATTGGTGTGCAGCCTTTCTCTGTCCTGGCGACGGTCGAGACGGCTGCTTTCCGGAGGGGTTCTTGGGGTATTGGTACTTGTTTGGTTTGGCCGAGGGGTGCGTCCTGTGTTGTCCGGTTGTGCTTTTTGCTGTTGCCGGCGTACCGTGCCTGGGGATGCGCTGTGGTTGATCCGGTTCCTTCGTTCTATGTTTTCAGGGCTCGGGTCTCCCAGGTCGTCCGCAGTGTTTTCCTTCTTCCTGCGGTCTGTCTTTGCGCCCATGCTGTTCAGACGTTTGCAGCATTTGCTGCTGTGTTGGTGACGTCTCGGGCTCATTTCGGGCGCAGGGATTTGTGGGTCGCACAGGTTTTTGGCCGCCCATCCATATGTGCGTCTGTTCTTGGGCGTTCTTGTTGCCTTGGGTCGCAGGTTTGCGACCGGTTGTCTTGGCTTTGCGTTGCAGAGTTTGTGGCGGCCGCCTCCCGGGTTAGCCCTTTCTTTTCCTTCTCTTTGGGTATGAAGCTCCAGGGAGCCGTAGGGGCTCCCCACAGAAAACCAGCGTTGAATGTAATGAAACGCCATTTTCTGGGTGAGCCCCGGAGGCTCCCTGGAAACCCTCCCTCCCCACCGGTCGGCGTTTTTTTCGCGTTGGTTGACGCTTAGCTTCCGAACTGGAGCTTGGCAGCCGGCGCGGTAGGTCCGGGGCTTCCCCCTCCCCCTCCCGGGGTGGGGAGGGCTGCGCGGACGATCGGCGCGGCAGTAAAGTGTGATGTTTGCTTGTTTGCTTGTTTCCTTGGGATTGTAGGGAGTTTTCTACTTCTCTGTTCGGGTTTTGTTGTAGTTTCTTACCATGTGGGGTTTGTTTTGTTATGCTTACCTTTCTGGGTGCCTAACCCCGGTCGATGGCAGATAAGGAAAACCCCCAACCATATGGGGTTTTCCAGGGCCATTGCTCCCTGAAACCTCTCTGAAGGGGCCAGGTTCTGGCGCTGGTCCCTGGTAGGTCTGAACTCCTTAGCTAATGTCCCGGTCTAACATAACACACATTAGCCCGATAAGCTCCAGGGAGCCGTAGGGGCTCACCCAGAAAATGGCGTTTCATTACATTCAACGCTGGTTTTTTGGGGGGAAGCCCCTTTGGCTTCGTGTAGCTATCTTCTCAAAGACAAGGACAAAAGAGGGACAAACCCGGGAGGCAGAAACTATGCACCCAAACCCGAAAACAAGACAACTGCCAACACCGAATGACTCTGCAGATGACCCGGGAGACCCAAACCCCGAAACAGGGATGAAGGGAATCCAGGTCAACCCAAAGCTCGTCCATGGCCACAGAGGCCGCAGCATGCAGGTAATGGCTGAGAGCCACAACTGAACACAAGAAGCACCACCCCCGGCCAAACCAACCAAGCAGCAATCAATCCTTTGACAACCAATCCTTTGGGGACGTCCCTTCTGCCTCTCTCTTCCCTGACCGCGAGGCCATCGAGGTCGATGCCTGCAGGCAGGACTGGGCGAGGTGGGGTTACCTATACCTCTTTCCCCCGGTTCAGCTATTGCTCCAGGTTCTGATTCGCTGGGAGATGTACCAGGGGAGAGTTGTCCTTCTGGCTACTTGGTGGCCAGCTCAATCTTGGTTTCAGGCACTGCTTGCTCGGTGTCCGAACCCGAGGGTCTTCCCACAGCTCTGCCTCTTTCAGCAGATCAGTCCAACTCGGTATGAGGCTGGTTCGTTCTTCTCTGCGAGTCATCGTGTATGGAGTTTATGACTTGTCAATCATCATTTGTTTGGGGCGCAGGTGGCTTCGTTGTTGGTTTCCCACTTGAATGCTTCGTCTTGGCAGCAGTGTGCAGTTTCCTGGCAGTCCTTCTGGTTTTTCCTATCACTGCATGGGTGTACTTCGGTCTCTGATAGGGTTGTCTTGTCCTTCTTTTCGTGGTTGTTCCAGGACTGTCATCTTCTGTCTAATACTGTCGCCTCGTATTGTGAGGCACTGGCGGAGCCACTGCAGCTTGCGTTCGGCATTGATGTTACTTCTGCTCTGTTCCTCAAGCTGTCTCGTGCATTGTTTCACCTCCGGCCTGCTCATGCGCCTCGTGAGCCGTCCTGGTCATTGGACTGAGGGCGCTCTTTTCTCTCTTCTCGATTTGTGGTGGCTCCTTCGGTTCAGGATTGTGTTTCTATGGTTCTTTTCCTGTTGGCATTGGAATCTGGGGGTTGGGTTGGGGAGCTTTGTGTTCTCCTTCGGCAGAGGGACTTTTCTGCTTATATGGTTCTGGTGGTAGGTTTGTTTGTTTACAGCAGTCTCCTCCTTTTCTGGTGATGATAGGGTCTGCTGCTTTCTGGAGGGGTCCTTGGGTTGTTGATGCTTGGTCAGCCCGGGGGTGCATCATATTTTGTGTTTGGTTGCGACTCTCCTTTGTTATCTGTGCGTCATGGCCTCTGTGGCTGTGGACGCGCTTTGCGTTGTCCGGGTTCCCTTCCTTCCTTCCTTCCTTTCCTTCCTTCCTTTCCTTCCTTCCTTCCTTCCTTCCTTCCTTCCTTCCTTCCTTCCTTCCTTCCTGATCCAGGGTTCGGGTCTTCCGGGTCATCCGCAGGGTCCTTTGGTTTTGCCAGTTGTCTTGATTTTGAATTTAGAGCGCATGGCATTCGCCTCCCGGGTTCTTCCCTCTTTTTCTTTATCGTTTGTAAGTAGCTCCGGGGAGCCAACGGGGCTCCCCCCAGAAAACCAGAGTTGAATGTAATGAAACACCATTTTCTGGGCGAGTTCCAGAGGCTCCCCGCATCCCTCCCTCCCTCCCTCCCTCCCTCCAGTCGGCGGTGTTTTTCACGTGTTTTTGACATCTAGCCTAAGAACTGACCATTGGATCGCTGGCATAAGGGGTCTGGGGCACCCCTTTCCCTTCCTGGGGAGGGGAGCGGGGTTACGCAGACAGCGGCACGGCTACGTGATAACGTCATGCTCGTTTGCTAATTTTCGTCTGGGGGTAGTTTTTTCCTTTTGTTCAGCTTTTGGTAGCAATATTTTCACTAGAAAAGTGGTTTGTTTTGTGGTGCATACCTTTCTGGGTGCCAGACCCGGTCAATGGCAAACATAGAATGCTCCCAACCACACTATGGGCCATTGCTCCTCGTGCCTCATCTGAGGGGCCAGGTTTTGACTTATGGTCCCCGGTAGGCCGAACTCCATACACTTTGATGCCAGAAAGCTAATATATCCATATCGGCCTGGATAGCTCCTGGGAGCCTCTGGGACTCACCCAGAAAATGACGTTTCATTACATTAATCGCTGGCTTTTTTTACATTCAGGAATGGACTGAGAATTCTCCTATTTACCCCTTTTCACAGTAATGGTTTGGCAAATGTGGTTTGAAATTATCCCTGCTGTGTCAGGGTAGGGAAGGTTTCCCTAATTCAAACTGCAGTGTGCTGTTTTTCTTGGGAGGGGGGTGAGATATTGAATTAGAAGTTACTTAAATGGGTTAAGCTCAGAAATATGGGTAATACTTTAAAATAATTTTTTTTGACAAAACGTGTAGTATCATCTTTTGTAATCAAGGTTCGGGTAATCTTGAGCTATTACAAGCATACTGTAAACCTCATTTACATACTTTAAATTGAATGGTCATGTTTGTTATTTGTTACTACAGGTATCCCCGTGATCCACGTGGTGATTATGACCAGCGGGACCAGAGGACAGACCAGCGGGAGCAACGGTTTCGGGAACCTCCACCGAGTCGTGAACCACGAGAAAACTTTACCCGTGCCGACCCCAGAGAGAGCAGGTGTGCTAGTCAATTATTTGCTGTCATGCATTACATAAAAATTTGTATTTAATGACAGATGATGCATGCATATATGTATGTTTATATAGTACAGTGGCACCTCGATTAACGAGTGGCTCTATCTACGAGCATTTCGAGTAACGAGCAAGCCATTCGCAACAAATTTGTCTCTATTGACGAGCTTCATCTCTATTGACGAGCAAAACCACATGGTGCTTCCTAGCTTCTCGCGGGTTCTCGCAAATTCTCCGACGCCTCCGACGCCTCTAACGCCAGTGTTGTTGTATCGCGCATGACAAGGATCCTTCTGCATTTATTTGTGCTTTTCTTTGTTTTTTTGTGGTTTTGTGACTACAATTTGTAACGTACGATGTTGCCAAAGAAGCTGCTTGCTAAATATATTGTTGTCAAGAGGAAGAAAGACACAATTACTGTGGATTTGAAGAAGGAAATTATAGCAAAGCATGAGCGTTGTGTCTGTGTGATTGATCTGACAAAGGAGTATGGCAGGTCCTCATCAACAATTTGCACCATTAGTAAGGGGATGAGGAGGTAAGGGAGGATAATGCCTCTTCCAGTGAGATCAGGGAAATGTTGGGATTGTTTGAAATGGTGACCGCATTCTTGGAAAAGCATCACCCTGATAAAGCAGTAACAACCCGGTGTGTGAACGTGTTTAATAACAATTTGCTGTCTTGTTTTAGGAACATCCTAAAACGAAGACAAAAGCAATTGTCAATAGATACGTTCTTTGCAAAAGTTGAGAAAAGAAGAGCCAGTGATAGTGAACCACAACCCGGTCCCAGTGGGGTGAAATTCCCAAGAAGAGAGAGACTGCCTGACTCAGAGGTGGATTCTCCTTCCACACCATAACCCCTCTCCTCCTCCTTTCTCCCTCAAGTCAGCAACAACTCTTCATAAGGTAAAGTAAACATGAAAACAGTACAACAAAACATTTATAATTACATGTGCAGTATTATATTTACATTATAAAATGTCATACAAGTATGGATGTTTTTGGGAGTGGAATGGATTAAATTTATTTCCTTTATTTTAAATGGGGAAATTTGTTTCTTAAGACGAGTTTTCCACATAACGAGCTCGGTGCCAGAATGGATTAAACTCGTTAATTGAGGTGCCACTGTATATGGATATTCACTACCAGTATAGTATATGGGCATTAAAAAAATGTTATTGATTTTTTAAGTTAAACCTTCAACATGTTGCAGTTTAGTAAACAAAATTCATTCATGTTTAATTGATAAAGAAACAAAATTGCATGTTGGGGAAATGTGCATTTCTAGGACTGCCCTCATATTAGTTTGCCGTACTATAAGCACTTGTGCATGCTGCATTGTAAAGCCTTAAAAATTGCATCTCCACCCTTGCCTACCAGAAGCCAATACCAGAATCTGGCTCTCTTTATGAAACAAGGGGTAGCTTAGGAAGCAGAGATCAACCTAAAACCTAGGAAAATTCACCAGAAAGGATAAGTGTAACATAACGAGCAACTGCGTGAAGGAAATTAGTACCAGCTAATGAAAAGCACACGAGAAATATCCTTACCATGATATGCCTGACAACGTGTAAATGACCCAGGAATTGTGATGTCTGATGATCTGATGTTTAGTGAACATAGCCATGCAAATACAGAGGAACCTCGGTTAACGAATTTAATCCATTCCTGCACCAAGCTCATCATGTGAAACGCTCATATTGCGAAACGAATTTCCTCATTTAAAATAATGGGAAAACAATTACTGTAATCCATTCCACCCCAAAAACATCAATATGAAATTTTATAATGTAATTATAATACATGTAATTATTATAAATATTTTTTTCTGGGGGGGAGCCCCTACGGCTCCCCGGAGCTTACTAGGCTGATATGCTAATGTCAGACTTTGGCATCAGTCATGTGTATGGAGTTCTTTGGATCTACCGGGGACCACTAGCCAGAACCTGGCCCCCCTCTAGAGAGGCAAGGGGAGCAATGGCCTATAGAAACCCCTGTGTGGTTGGAAGCATTCTATGTCTGCCATCGACCAGGTCAGGCACCCAGAAAGGTAAGCGTCCCAAAACAAACCCTTATTTTGGTGAAAATTGCAAAACAAAAAACGAATGAGTGAATAGAACTCCCCAAACAAAAACTAGCAAATTAACACTTTCGCCCGGGCATGACGCAGCATTGCGTCATCCGTTTACTGGCGGTAATTCCGGGGATGACGCAGCATTGCGTCATCCACTTTAAATAATCGCCAAAAATCAGCTTTTATCCGATTTTTTTGGGACTGGTTTTAAAATGCGCGCCGATGTCTTCCCATTTTCCTTGTTGAGCCTCGTGGCCCTCAGGTGGCTTGGCACATGCCGTGGGCCCATTGCTTTCGCTCCACTGTTGTGACCAATGTCGCCTCCCCTCGCATCTCAAACTTGTGAACATTTCGCCTATTTTCCGTGGCTATATTTCTTACTGCGGCTTTAGAAACTATCCACGCTTACTCCACGATGGATAGTGATCATGAACAAGGCCCTTCCAGGAAGAAAATTGCGAAAGAAAGGCTTGAAAAGGGCGGGAATTGGGAGTGTAGGTGGAAGGCGGCTGAGAACTCACTCGCGGCTAACGCGTGGCCCGTTTTCAACTCGTCGGCGGTTGGAGCGTGACCAGGTTTTTTATTTGATATGCTAATGTTCCTCTAGATAATTCTATTGCGAACCCATTGAGACCAAAATGAAAGACCTAGGATAAAAATTGAGGTGACCAGACTGAAAATAGTGAAAACATTTTATCGCGTTTGCGCGCTCCTGGGTAACTCGTTCGCACTTTCTCTGTTTGCTGCGGGTAATTAGCCGGGCTTTTGGAGTTTATATGCATTTAGTGCTGTAGAGAATTCTATTGCGAACACAATGATACCAAACTTAATCTCGTAGGACGAGAATTAAGGTGACAAAGTTGAAGAGAGTATACACTTTTCAGATTTTACGCGCACTCCAGTGACACCCTGGGTCCCATATCGCACAGTTGAGGGGTGGCGAGCGGGGTGCACCAAAGTGTTAATATGACATCACCCGTCGCCACACCTCCGTCTGCGCAGCTCCCCCCTCCCCGCGAGGGGGAAGGGGGAGCCTCAGACCTCCTGCTCTGGCGATCCACACCCAAGTTCTTCGGCTGATGCTAAAGGCTGAGGTCATGTGATCTGGTTCCGGTGGTTGTTTCAGCACCGTACCTAGCGTGTGGTGACTGTCTTCCAGGTGGTGTGTGAGCCGGGAGTGATTTTCTAGTATTCGGGCTGCATGCACCTAGGGTTTCCTTCCCTAGGTGCCCTGTAAAGTACTACCCTTGGGCTTGGGGCCACCTTCCACAAGTTCCTTGGGTTCTGCCTCTACTTGGCCATTTGCTGTTTGGTTTTCGGCCGCCCTTTGTGTGCTAGGGTGTTCTGTCTCCCTTGTTCACCTTCAGGTAAAGGGCAGTTTGCACTGATAGGAGCGCAGAGTACTGCGTAGCTTGTTTTCACCATTCATGGCGGCCGGCTCTGTTCCGCCTGGGTATGCTGTCCTCTTGCGGGGTTTTTCTTTTTCTTTTTGTTTTTCTACCTGGTTCTGGCGCTGGTCCCTGGTAGGTCTGAACTCCATAGTTAATGTCCCGGTCTAACATAACATACATTAGCCCGATAAGCTCCAGGTAGCCTCCGGGGCTCACCCAGAAAATGGCGTTTCATTACATTCAACGCTGTTTTTTTGCTGTATCACTGTGAGGTCTGGGGTTCTGAATATGTTGTTATACCCTATCCAGACATCTTAGGTTTTGTAGTCCTATGTTGAAGTCCCAGCTAGTTTTGTCTAGCTGGACAGCTAGACTCTGCCTACCAGGAGATAGCCTCTGGCTATCTTCCTACTGCACCTAGACAGCAGCTTGTTTGTTGGAAACAACACAGCCATCTGTTTGCAATTAACAGCTTAGCAGAGATCGAGGTCACCTGACGCATCCTGACCTGAAGGCAACTTGTGAAAATTAACACTCGAAAGGTGTTACTTTAGAATGCTAAGGGCCGACTGCCTTGCGCCACCAATATCCTTTGTGACTGACTCTCATTGTATGTGAAATATTAAATAAAAACTATTTATTGTGTTTCTGCAGCACTCTATAATCATTGCATCTCCAGTATTTATTTCAACACCATGCTCATATATTGAGATGTGGCAGTCCAAGGACAAATTTCTTGAATGCAATAAAAACATGTCTGGTTGTATAATGTTGAGTGAAATAGAACATCTAAGCTAATTGTGTATTACATAATATATTATTATCCATTATAGAGACCGAGAGCGAGATTCTCGCAGCTACCGTGACTCTCGAGACAGCCGGGATCAGAGAAGTACCGAGTCACGGGAACAACGTGACAATAGAGATCCTCGAGCTGCAGATAGAGACAGAGACTACCGTAACAATCCTCCCAGTGAAACTCGTGACCCTCGAGGGGGAAGACCAGCTTTCCCTCAGGATAAAGACTTCAGAAGCAGTGAGTTTATTGACTTCTAAGAGGTCAAAGTTATGCAGTAGTCCTATATGTAAAAATACAATATTACTTTAACCTTATCTTTTCTGTGGGGAGCCCCTACGGCTCCCTGGAGCTTATCGGGCTAATGTATGTTATGTTAGACTGGGACATTAGCTATGGAGTTCAGACCTACTAGGGACCAGCGCCAGAACCTGGCCCCTTCAGAGAGGTTTCAGGGAGCAATGGCCCTGGAAAACCCCATTATGGTTGGGGGTTTTCCTTATCTGCCATCGACCGGGGTTAGGCACCCAGAAAGGTAGGCATAACAAAACAAACCCCACATGGTAAGAAACTAAAACAAAAAACCGAACAGAGAGGTAGAAACTCCCTACAATCCCAAGGAAACAATCAAACAAGCAATTATCACAATTTACTGCCGCGCCGGTCGTCCGCGCAGCCCTCCCCTCCCCGAGAGGGGGAGGGGGGGCCCGGACCTCACCGCGCCGGCTGCCTTCAGTTCGTAAGCTAGTGTCAACCGGGATAGACGCTTCTCTGGCCTCAAATTCCTGGGCGGTGTTTGCCTCGAGTGGCGTTCTCTGCTCTCTTTGTGTGGTGTGCGGTGGCCAGGAGTACCTCATCAGTGCCGGGGCTGCATGCGCTTAAGGGCTTCCTTCCCTAAGCGCCCTGTGAGTACTGCTCCTGCGTGTCAGGGTTATCTTCTCTGGGGCGTTCGGGAACTGCTCCCGTAGGGGTTCTTGCTGCTCTGCATTTGCTTCGCCCTTGGGGCCAGCTGGGGCTTGGGGCCCTTGTTTGGCCTTGGGTAGGGAGTGGTATTGTGCTGGTTAAGGCGTCAAGGTGTTGCGCGGCCTGCCACCTAAGCGGCGACCGGTTCCTGTTGCCTCTGGGGACGGTGTACTTTTGCGGGGGTTTTCTTTTGTTTTGTTTTTGTTTGCCTGGTGGAGGTTCTGCCTTGTGGGTCTATAGTTCCCCTGATATTGTTTTGGTGGCCCTCTGCTAGGCCCCCGTGCTTGTACATGTCCCAGGGGTTTTCAGTGTTATCATCTACCCCTTGTTTTGTTTGGGTTTCTTAACCGGTTAGCAACACCTTGCCCGGGCTTCCCGTAGTTGTTACCCTACGGGCCCTGGAAACCCCTGTCGGGGCTCGGTGGACCCATGGATGCGTCTCCCGAGTTCCAGCCTGCCTTGTGCGGGTTTGAAGGTTGCAGTGTGCCCTTGTCTCAGGGTGACAGTCACCTGTTTTGCCTCCGTCATGCTGCCTGTTGGGTCAATGACACCTTTGACCCGGAGTCTTGCGAGTCATGTTCTCTGCTTGTGCTCCAGTTTTACTCTGAGGATGTTCCTGTTAGGGTACAGGCAGCATCAGCGTTGCATGTTAGGTTTAGGTTACTGCAATGCGCTAGGTTGGTTTCCCACCCGGATGCCCCGAGGCTGCCCCATTTTGGTTTTAGGGACCCTGACCTGGGGGCGTTAGTTGCTTTGGCTTTGGCTCCTGCCGCGCCCTCTGGTCCTTCCCCTGTGGTTCTTCCTGCACCTTCCCCCCTGTGTCCGGCTCCAAAACGTCTGAGGGTTTCGGCCTCGGCACAGGGTTTAGTTGGTAATGAGACTCGGGCTGCCTCGGGGGCTGCCCCATTCAGGTCGGGGACAGAGGCATTTGAGCCGGTTCCTCCTGCCGAGGCTTCTGGGTCCCACCAGCAGACCCCCCTCTTGTCTGCCTTTCCTTTGGACTCTGCCTTTTCTTCAAGGGTAGAGGGTTTGGAGGACGGCTCTGCCCCAGGTCCCGACATGGGGGATCCTGGGGCTGGGGAGGAGTCAACCTGGGGGCCTTGGTCCCCCCTTGACCCCACTTGGGTGCTTTTGCCTTCCTCGCGGGGTTTATTGTTGCAGGGGGAGGGATTTTTTTATCCCCCTTCCCTGTATGAGTATGATTTGGGTTCGGCTCCTCCCCGGGTTCGGTTCCGGGCGCCTTTGGGTACCTCGGATCTGTCTTTCCAGAGGTTTTCTGCTTCCCGTATCTCTGCAAAGGTGGCTCGGGAAGCTCTTGCTGCATACCTCTTGTGAGACCCGGGTTATGCCTCTGCAATGGATCCGTCCTCGTTTGAGTTCGGTTCTTCCTATTTTTGGGTGCGTTTGGAGGTTCCAGAGTCTTCCTGGCTGGCAGACTGCCCTTTCTTTTCGTTGGGGGCGTGACATGGGTTTTGTCGGACCCTCACGCTTGATTGGCAGGGAACTTCTACTTTTATGCAGGTTTACCTGGGGTGCGAGTTTGAGCACCTTAATGCGTGCTTGTTCGCTCCCGTGCTTTCTCGGGATGTTGGCCTTTTCCAGCTTCACGTGCAGGTTCCTCAGCTTTCGGCTTTGTTGGTTGCGGAGAAGTTGCGATCCCGTGGCATTTGACTTCGGTCTTACGTTTCTTTTCCATTCTCGAGCTGTCTTCTGCTTGGCTTGAGGAGGATGTGGGAGCGTTGAGTGAAGGGCCTTCGTCCGGGACGCTGACTTTTGCAGCTAGGGCGTCGGCTGCACTGTTGAAGCTCTTTGCCCCCATCCTGAAAGAAGCGGTGTCTCTGTTTTTTGCTTCACACCTCGTGTGCAGTCAGGCGATGCTCTCCCTCTCTTTGGAATCCGCTTGGGTCCTGGCTCTTAGGTTTTCATCTCTGTTTTGTATGTTGCTGTTTGCAGAGACTGCGGTCTCTCAGTTTCTGTACACAGCTTCGTCTAGTTGTCGTCTTATGGCGGACTTGTTGATTCTCCGAAGTGATCGTTCTGGGCTGTTTCGGAAGGGTCGTCCCAGGGTTCTGGGTTCTGCTGGTAGAGGTGGGCCATTGGTGCTAGTTTCTGAGTTGCTGTTCCCTTCGGGGCCAGCGTCGTCTGGTCGGCGCAGTGATCGCTCTGTTCGACGGTTGGGTTCTCGTAAGGGGCGTCGGCCCTTTCGCGGTTTTCCCCGTTGACGGGGCGATGGGGGGGAGGCTCGCTCTGTTTGCCCACACTTGGTCCCACGATTTGTGGGCCTTTTTGCTCGTGTAATCCGGCCTGCGGTGGCGTTGGCAACTCGTCCTCCTTTGGAAGGTTCGGGGCTAACAGGGCAGGTTTCTTCTCCTGCATTTCGTCAAGTCATTTTGGAGTGGGTGCGCTTGGGCATGGTCGAAACGACTACGTCCCTCAGGTGGGTTTTCCGTCTGTTTCCAGTGCTGAAACGGGACTGTGTGGATCTGAAGTTCATTCTGGACTTGTCCCATCTGAACCCCTGGATTCCTTGCCCCTCCTTTCGGATGACTACTCTCTCTCAGGTCCGGCTTCTGTTGGAGCCGGGTGCCTGGATGGTGTCCCTGGACCTCAAGGATGCCTATTGGCACGTTCCTATTCATCCGGGTTTCAGGGACTGGTTAGGTTTCGTTGTGGGGCGTCACGCTTACCGTTTTCTGCGTCTCGGCGACAGTATGAAGTTTCCTGGCATTCTTTTCGCCATTTCCTGGCTCTTCGTAGGTTGTCTTTTCTTTCGGATCAGGTCGTCTTATCCTTTCTTTCTTGGCTTTTTCAGGACCGTCATTTGATGCCTAATACTGTCACCTCGAATCGTGCGGTGCTGGCTGAGCTGCTCAAGTTAGCTTTCGGGGTGGACGTCACATCCGCCCTGTTTCGTAAGCTTTCCCGTGCTTGTTTCATCTCCGGCCTGCTCATGCGCCTCCTGAGCCGCCCTGGTTCTTGGACAGGGTGCTCTCCTATCTTTCCTCTCCTCGGTTTGTGGTGGCCCCTTCGGTCCCAGATTGTTTTTCTAAGGCTTTGTTTTTGTTGGCATTGGCCTCTGGGGGCCGGATCGGGGAGCTTCATGCTCTCCTCCGGCGCAGGGGTTTCTGCTCTTTTGGTCCTGGGGGTAGGTTTGTCCGTTTGCAGCCTTCTCCATCCTTTCTGGCAAAGAACGAGACGGCTGCTTTCCGGAGGGGTCCGTGGGTCATTGATGCTTGGTTGGTTCGGCCGGGGGTGCATCATGTGTTGTGTCCGGTTGCAGCACTTCGCCGTTATCTGCATGCTTCGGCCGGAGTGGCTGGGGATGCGCTTTGGGTTGATCCGGTTTCCCTCGTTCCCTGTTCCAGGGCTAGGGTCTCCCAGGTTGTCTGCAAGGTTATTAATTAACACTTTCGCGCACCACGCCCGCCACCCCTCAACTATGCGTAGTGGGTCCCAGCGTTTCACGGGAGCGCGGGTTAATTCTGAAAAGTGTATACTCTCTTCAACTTTGTCACCTCAATTCTCGTCCTACGAGATTAAATTTGGTATCATTGTGTTCGCAATAAAATTCGCTACAGCACTAAAGGCATATAAACTCCAAAAGCCTGGCTAATTACCCGCAGCAAACAGAGAAAGTGCGAACGAGTTACCCAGGAGCGCGCAAAAGCGATAAAATGTGTTCACTCTTTTCACTCTGGTCACCTCAATTTTCGTCCTAGGTCTTTCATTTTGGTATCAATGGGTTCGCGATAGAATTCTCTAGAGGAATATTAGCATATAAAATAAAAAACCTGGTCACGCTCCACCCGCCGACGAGTTGAAGACGGGCCACGCGTTAACCACGAGTGAGCGCCCAGACGCCTTCCAGCTACACTCCCAAGTCCTGCCCACAAATGTTTAGTATTTTTACCGGTTGCTAATCTCAATTTTCGTGTTACAACGCTCATTTAGGTATGAAATTGTTTCTAATAGAATGCTTTATATGGATATGTGCATATAAGGGCCAATTGAAGAATAATATTGCCAGTACAATACGCGAAAGTATGAACAAAAAAAAAATATACAAAATAATACAACTTTTTGTACTTACCACTTCAGTGTTGTGTGTTGAACATGACATGGGTTGAACATTTGTTCAATATATTATATATTGATTATATTATATATTGAACACCAGTCCCAAAAAATATCGGATAAAAACCTGATTTTTGGCAATTATTTTAGTAAACGACGCAGCATTGCGTCATTACTGAGATTACCGACAGTAAAAATATGACGCAATGCTGCGTCGTTACCGGACGAAAGTGTTAAGTCTAGCCAGCCTGCGGTCTATCCTTGCGCCCATGATGTTCGAAAGTTTGCAGCTTTGGCTGCCATGTTTGGTAACATGTCTTGGGCACATATTCAGGTGCGTGGATTTTGGAAGTCGAACAGGGTCCTGGCCGCCCGTTATTTGGTGAACGTCCCTGCTCCTCGGCGTTCTTGTGTTGCTTTGGGTCGCAGGTTGCAGCCAGTTGTCTCGACTTCGCGTTGAGGAGATTGTGGCCGCCGCCTCCTGGGTAAGTCCCTATTTTTTTTCTCTATGGGTATGTAGCTCCAGGGAGCCATAGGGGCTCCACACAGAAAACCAGCGTTGAATGTAATGAAACGCCATTTTCTGGGTGAGCCCAAGAGGCTCCCTGGCTTCCCTCCCTCCCATCCGGTCGGCGTTTTTTTTTTTTTTTTGTGTTGGTTGAAGCCTAGTTGGGTGAAGCCTTCCGAACTGAAGGCAGCCGGCGCGGTGAGGTCCGGGGCCCTCCCCTCCCCCTCCCGGGGAGGGGAGGGCTGCGCGGACGACCGGCGCGGCAGTAAATTGATTGTTTGATTGTTTCCTTGGGATTGTAGGGAGTTTCTACCTCTGTTTGATTTTTTGTTGTAGTTTCTTACCATGTGGGGTTTGTTTTGTTATGCCTACCTTTCTGGGTGCTTAACCCCGGTCGATGGCAGATAAGGAGAAACCCCAACCACAAGGAGGTTTTCCAGGGCCATTGCTCCCTGAAACCTCTCTGAAGGGGCCAGGTTCTGGCACTAGTTCCTGGTAGGTCTGAACTCCATAGCTAATGTCCCGGTCTAACATAGCATACATTAGCCCGATAAGCTCCAGGGAGCCTCCGGGGCTCATCCAGAAAATGGCATTTCATTACATTCAACGCTGGTTTTTTATTTCATTTGTGTGTTTTGAGTATAAATGTAAAGTTTTTATACTCATTACTGGAGAGTACTCAGGCAACTAAGAGCTTTTTCCTTTTTTTGTGCACAGGTGGAAACCCTCCTCCTCCCATAGGTGGACCTTCGCAGCCTCCTCCACGTGGTGTTCCTCCACCATCCTCAGCTCCCACTGCTCTTCCAGCCAATCTTGCTGGACAAGATCAGGAGAAGGTCAGTGTCTTTGTCAACATTTTGGTAAAAGTATATTGAAGACAGAAATAAATAGGATGAGAAGTGGGATTAACCCTTTGGCTGCGATAGTTAATAGCAGTCGAAGGCTGAAAATATGACTTAAAACACAATAAGCAACTTGAGTCCAAGCGCTGTATTCAGAAAAATGTTTCCAAATCTTATAATGTTCAACCGGGTCGTCTGTCCTTCAGAACAAGACACTTTATCTGGGAAATGCTACAACCAGTTGGTGGCACAATTGGCATAATAATCAAATATTACCCTATATACAAAGTAGTGGCAAAAGTGGGTAGTTACGCTTCCTTCAAACACATACATTGCCTATTTTTACAAATTATTTTGGGCAAGATCTGTTAAGCAATTTTGATTAATATAACATGTTGTGTTTAAAATAAATAGTGAGTTTTGTCTTTACCCAACTGTGCTATAATAAATTCCTCGATGGTCTGAACAGTCTGGTGCAAATTATTCAGTGGAACAAACAAACAAATGTTTGTTTCAGTGAGAATTACTCGCCCAAGTCACTGCCAAGCCCATTAAATCTTTTAAAGAAATCTAAATATAGAATTATTTTACAAATGATATTATAATACTTAAAAAAATACATTATACACAAAACAGCCAGAAGTGAATCATTATTGCATCATGTAGCTCATCCTTGGCTTAAATGAGATTGTGCTAATGCACAGCAGTCCCCGTGGTGTAGTGGTAAGATCCTCGCCTGGTGTTTCGCAAGCACTTTGTCCTGGGTTCATATCCTGGCCAGGGAGGATTGACTGGGCTCCAATCTTTAACTGTAGCCTTTGTTTACCCAACAGTAAAATGGATACCTGGTTGTTAAACGATTTGGCGGGGTTGTATTCCAGGGAACATATGATTAAGGACTTGTTTGAAATGCTACGCGTGCTAGTGGCTGTACAAGAATGTAAAACTCTTGTACTGTATATATAAGTAAAAAATAAAAAATAAAACAAGTATAGGCAGTCCCCAATAACAAGTGGGCTGCATTCTGGAAAGCCATTTGTAAAGCAGTTGTTCAGAATGTGGAATTAGATTTCCCATGTGCACAATGGTATAAATGGGAGATGCATTCCTAGACCACCAAAAATCTTCATAAAAAACAGTATTTTGGGAACAAATAGTATAAGAAACACTACCTATTTTTTATCTGAATGGAACAGTTACCCTGCTTGTACAAGTTAGCTTTTTGGGAAGGGCTGAGTCAGTAGCTCCATGTGGCTATATCCTGTATATTTCCATCAGGTTTGGTGGAGATATACAGTGGTGATACTCCACCAGGTTTGGCAGATATACAGTTATACAGTGGTACCTCGCATAACGAATTTAATCCGTTCCATGTTCGTCATGTGAAACGGACGTCATACAAAACAAGTGTGCCCCATGTAACCAGTGTGATGCACTGTGTTTATTGTGAAATTCCCCAGTGTGCATGACATCAAATGTTCCCCAAAATATCATTTTTCTTTGCAAAATGATAAATTACCGTCCCTGAACATGTCTATGTAAAAGTAATTACCAAATTCCACTTACTTTGGGTGTGAGGGCATGGACAAGGTGCGCTGTGACGTCATCAGGGCCTGGTCGCCCGTGTGTGAAGCTCCCAGACACGGTCGCGCAGGCCATTCAAGCACTGCATGTTGCCACAAATATATTTTCAAATATTTTTTCTATGCATTTCCAATGCGGTTTTATTTGTTTCTTTTATCGTATATGATGCATATATGTGACCTTTACAATATGTATACAGTAGAATGTTCATAATTTTCCATGAAACTGTGATACATGTGTCAGTAATGTGTCCACAATAAATGTTTATTGTCACAATATTACGTGGTAAAAATTCACTAAAATTACAATATGTACAGTTTCACACACTATTTACACAGTAACACACTGTATTACACACTCAGTACTTTGGAGGTGCGTAATAGTCAACGAAGTAGTCCATGGTACACAGCGCGACTTTGCTCTCATTGCACCAGCTACAGATAGATTTTCGTTTCCTGTTTCATCGTTCTGTGTGCTTGCAAATAACGCTCTCGTGTGCACCCTTGGCTTTAGTACTTGTAGGTGGTATGTAGCCAAGCTTGTAAAGCATAAGGTAGTATTGAAATTATTATAGGAAAAGCTCAGTTTGTAAGGTAGTCTTGAAAAGATCGCTTTGTAAGGTCCCACACAGGAAGAGATTCAGCTAGCCTCAAAGAGTGTCCATCAGTCAGGAAGAGATTCAGCTAGCCTCAAAGAGTGTCCATCAGTCAGGAAGAGATTCAGGTATTCTTGAAAATATCAATGAACAACACCACCATGGAAGCCGCTAACACTGTTCATCTATGCTACTTGTATCAGATGCATCATCATTGAACGCAGAAAACGATTCATCTATGTATCATCTATATAAATTGGAGATGGCAAGGGTGGGGCTCAGAGCTACAACTGGATACGCTCGCTGTATCATCCTCATAGGTGCTGCATCACTGGCATCCGACCGTTGTGTTAAGCCCTTATTGCGCCTAGCTTCACCAATGTTATGACCCCTTGTTCTTCAAACAATAGGGTCTGAATTGCACCGATTGAGCGCAGTCTTTCAACACCGTGTGGGACAGGTGTTTGAGAGCCAGAGGCACGTGTGCTACAAATGGTTGCTCACGCAGTACTAACCCAGCCAGCAGCCCTTGTCTTTCATATTCGTTATAACAAAAGGTTCGTTCAGTGTTTGTCGGGTAGGCTGCTCCATTATGACAATCTTTCTTTGTTTCAAATGTGTTCCATTTGTTTTGTATTTGTCACTTACGTCTCAATAATGGAGCAGCCTACCCGACAAACACTGAACGAACCTTTATGGCATTTGTCCATTTTTCAAATTGTTTCAACAGTTCTTTTATTTTTCGTTTTTTTTTATTTAAGAAACATGGAGTAGCCGACCTGTAGACCACCGAATGAACCTTTTTGACATTTGTACTGGTTTTCAAAATTCTTCATTTTTTTTATTATTTACGTTTTTTGTATGTAAGAAACATGGAGCAGCCTACGTGCCGACCACGGAACGAACCTTTTGCTATAAGACAAATGAAAAATAAATATTGAACACATTTGAAGAAAGGAAAATGTCATAATGGTTTATTCAGTGTATGTAAGGTAGGCTTCTCCATTATTGAGACGTAAATGACAAATACAAAACAAATGGAACACATTTGAAACAAAGAAAGATTGTTATAATGGAGCAGCCTACCTGCCGAACACCGAACGAACTTTTTTGACATTTGTTGTATATCAGATATTTCATTTCTTTTTTCCTACAAAAACGTCAATGCTTTGCAACATCTCAGCAGTCACCCTTTTATATCCCAGCATCATTAGCATCTTTAAACAAGAACAACATAATTTATGTGCATCGTCAGCGGCGTCTAAGAATGTGCAAGAAGCAGCGCGACCCCACCGTGTGGTGTTGACGTTACTCAAACCAGCGTTCGTCATACGGGACGATTTGATGCCGATCGGGCCGTTCGTTACCCAAAATGTTCGTCTTTTGGGGCAATCGTTATGCGAGGTACCACTGTATTAACTAATTATATTATATATTATATTATATTAACTAGGTGAGTAGAGTGGTGATACTCCATCAGGTTTGTATCACACCAAGCCCCTTTCCCCTACTGAAGACCACAAGCCAAAACTTGGTCTCCTCAAAGAGCCACAAGGGGCAGAGGATTTAAGATCATTTTAACTGAAGGAAAAAATGACCAGAAAGGTAGCATGAACAAAAGCAGGCAACAGCAAGGTAAAATAAATATTGAACACACAAGAACAAGAAAATGGGAAAAATAAATAAAAAATTATGGTAAATAGTAGTGTTTAGGGTAAAGGCTAATACAGAAAATAGGCAAGCCCTGTAGCTTCGTGCTAAGTGCCGGCCAGCCGTAGATGTTGTTCATCTTGCAGGGAACTTTTGCTGGTTGTTGCATCCTATTATTTTAGTATTAGCTTTGCAGGTATATTTTAATTCCTGTAGTTTATATGGGCTTGGCTTGTGTTCTGCTTCAGGCTGCAGGCACTAAAGCTTTCTTCCCTGGGTGCCCGCTAGCAGTCATAGTTATCTTCTCTGATGTGTTGAAAGTTTGCCCCCCAAGAGGTCAAGCCTCAAGGGGTGGAGAGCCTCTCCTTGGGAGAGGCTCTCCACCCCTGGAGATCAAGGGTCCTAGACTCCTCTTTTTAAGCCCTTTACTGGAGGCATTTTTTTTTATTGCGCTAGGGGTGCACTTAGGTTTGTATTTGTTTATACAGTGTGCACACATTTATATGGTTGGCTACATTTAGTGATTTTGTCAGCAAGCGGCCCCAGTCTCTGTGGTTTCTGCTTGGTTAGCGGCCTTCAGGCCCTGGTAATACTATCGCGGGTCTTTAGCATGGTCCTTTATTGATTAGCCTATGATGTAAGCAGAAAAGCCCAACTTGGGCAAAGAATTACTAAACAGGCAGGAGCCAGAGAGTAACAGTTAGGGCGAGAAGTCAGACTGGCGAACCGTAACGAGTGGAGTACCTCAAGGATTGGTGCTGGGACCAGTTCTATTTCTAATATACGTGAACAGCATGTCTGCAGGAGTCGAGTCCTATATATCGATGTTCACGGATAATGCAAAATTAATGAGGCGAGGAGTGACAGATGAGGATTGTAGGATTCTCCAAGAGGACTTGAACAAACTACAGAGATCGTCAGAGCAATGGCTACTGGAGTTCAACACGACTAAGTGTAAAGTTTTGGAAATGGGACTAGGTGACAAGAGACCAAAAGGTCAGTACACAATGAATGGAATCTATCGTCCTGTGACAATTCGAAAAAGGGACCTGGGAGTGGACGTAACACCAAGTCTAACTCTGAGGCTCATATAAATCGGCAAAACGACAGCAGCGTACTCTGCGCTAGCAAAAGTTAGAACATCATTCAGAAACCTAAGTAACCTAAGTAAGGAGGCATTCAGAGTGCTTTACACTGCCAATGTAAGGCTAGTCTCAGAGTATGCAGCTCCATCATGGAGCCCCCCACCTAAAGGAACACATTAGGAAACAGGAAAAGTTTCAGAAATTTGCTACAAGGCTAGTAGTCCTGGAGTTGCATGGGATGGGATATGAATAGCAACTGAAGGAACTGAACCTGACAGTGCCAGGGAGCATGGAGACATAATAGCAGCATACGAAATACTTAAGGAAATTGACAGAGTAGAAGTACGAAATGTTCACATGGAATACCAACAAAACAAGGGGACATGGGTGGAAGCTAGAAACTCAGATCAGTCATAGAGATGTTAGAAAGTTTTCTTTTAGCATGAGAGTAGTGGGGAAATGGAATGAACTAAAGGAGCACATTGTGGAAAACTATTCATAACTTTAAAACTAGATATGATAGAGAAGAATGACGGGCGTCATTGCTTTAAACAATCAGAGGCTAGAAAGGCGAGATCCAAGAGCCAATACTCGATCCTGCAGGCACAAATTGCCGATTGTGAGCTTGGGAGTTTGTTGTCTTTGCTACATGACGATGATCATTCTTTTTGCCTCGGCCACACTGCCTGCTGGATTGGTGACATCTTTGAGTATTGATTCCTGTGAGCGTCTTTTTCACAGGGGTCTCTTCCCTTACTGATTCAGCTTTGAGTTTAGAAGCTTTTCAGACTACTGTCGCTATACGAGCCAGGTTTGTTTGGGTTAGGCATTCACAGCAAAATTGATTGCCTGGATGCCCTAGTGTTGGCCCTGTGGGGAAAATGGACTCCTGGGATTTATTTATTTATTTACAATTTATTAATTTATATTAATTTATTTCTTACGTTTATTTATTTTGATTGCGGATTGTATGAATTCAAAGTGGACTGTATGATATTAAATTTCCACAAATTGTTTCCTACACATGCTGGGGGATTTATTATTTATAGTCTATCAATCAAAATTAATTGATTGGTAGACATTCACTACAATGTTACTACTGTAGGTGTTAAGACTACATAGGTTAGTAAAATATATGAGAAAATACAGCTTATTAGTATAGTTGGTTATGGCCTGGTCAAGCAGATATGAATGCGTATGATCGCATGTCACGTGTTGTACCACCAGGTAGTTGATTGCTAATTCTTCTTTCCCTTCAATTTCACCTGTCAAAGGGGGAGGAGGCATGCAGTAATGATCATAACCAATATACAACAGCTATATCAGGGAAAATTAATGGGTAATTAATTGATAATTACCTCTTTGGGTGGCTCACCATGTGTGTCCTAACCGGAATAACTTAATCTATATTACTTGCCAGGAATAGCTAGATTTAATGGGTTATCGGGTACTGTACATCTCCCTTATTGTTGACGAAGATCGTGCTGATGATGGGAGCTATTTACATCCCATAGCACTGAGTCTAGAAAGAAATAATTTCGGAGCTTCAAGCATGCTCCTAGCGAGACTTTTGTTGTTCAAATTAATGGCGTTTACCTCCCACTCACACATCAGGTGTCCTCTCCAGATGCATTTTATCAAGAAGTAGGCAGAGGTTTTATATTTAATTTGTTTTAGTACTGATAATAAGTTCCTCCAGATGCATTTTATAAAGAAGCAGAAAGAGGTTTTATATGTAATTTGTTTTAGTACTGATAATTAAATTCGTTCAAGGGAAATATTTTATGATGTTTACAGTCCAAATATGGCACCCCCCTTCCTGTGTGCAGAAAATAAATTCTCTGGAAAAAATTCTTTTCTTTTTTGAAAATGTTAAAAACCCTTCCCTGAGTATGGATATGTTAACAAAAAGTCAAAATTGTACTTACTTTGGCCGCAATGGGATCCGGAAAATGGTGTGTGACATCACGATTTGGTGGTCGCCCGTGACATAGACTCCCGGAGCCAATTGCCCGCCAACTTCAACATTCGTGCGTTGTCACAAATATTTTTTTGTTCATTTTTTGCGTACATTTCCAAATACATTTGTTTTGTTTTTTCTTGCCAATCCTATGTATAATGAACACGTACACCTTATTATGGCAGTAGAACATCCGTACTGTCCCAAGACACTGTGTTATATGTGTCTCAAATGTGTCCACATATATTGCTCATATATCCAATGTTTAATGTTGATTTATGTATATTTACAACATATTTACACACTATACACTATCACACACACTATATACATTCACCATCAACACACTTAGAACTCTGCAAGTGTGAGCTGCCACACCCAGCCAGCCCTCCCTCACTCCTCCAACACCTAGCTTATTCCTTACACCTTACTCGCCAACATTCCTCCTCCCACCATACTGTTATTGTTTTTATTACACTATTTACACACGTTATGTATACGTATCGTCATGTTTTATTCACCATAACTATGCAAGTAAGCTGGTATTGTGTCCAAACAGCACAGTGGCCACCATACACTGCATGAGAAATCACACAGCAGCCAGCAGACGATGCTTCAGGTATGTCGCCACATCCCTCACCAAAAAGGCCACTCCCAACATACTCCTGTTGCTGTTATTACACTATATACACACATTGTATTTACCCATGTACATATGTGTTCACCATAGCGAACCATTAGGCTAATATGGTGTGCAAAACAAGAGTGGCAGCCACATACAGTGATGGTACCTCGATCTTCATCCTCCCTCCCTCCCCCACCAAAATTTCTCCTCCCACAATACTATGCACATATGTACATGGGTATATACACACATTATATATACACACATTGTATATACCCATGTACATATGTGTTCACCATAGCGAACCATTAGGCTAGTATGGTGAGTAAAACAAAGAGTGGCTGCCACACACAGTGATGCTACCTCAATCTTCTCCTTCCATCCCCCACCAAAATTCCTCCTCCCACAATACTACACATATATGTACATGGGTATATACACACAGTGTATATACCCATGTACATGTGTGTTCATCATAGCGAACCATTAGGCTAGTATGGTGAGAAAAACTAGAGTGGCTGCCACACACAGTGATGCTACCTCGATCTTCTCTCTCCCTCACCAAAATTCCTCCTCCCACAATACTACGCACATATGTACATGGGTATATACACACATTGTATATACCCATGTACATGTGTTCGCCATAGTGAACCACTAAGCTAGTATGGTGAGTAAAACAAAGAGTGGCTGCCACACAGTGACACTATCTGGATTCCCTCCCTCCCTCCCTCACCAAACTTCCTCCTCCCACAATACTATGCACAGCGCTAATTATCACCACAATCCTGCTATTATCACAATCCTGGTCAAAAATCCTGTAAATGACTAATTGACCACAAGTTTATTTTGTAAAGTAACATATGAAGTCGTTTGAAGATTCCTAGATGGACAAAATAATGCTGTGGCTAGTGCTGTGAACATCGTGAACAGCCTTGATTCACTGATATTTGAACATTGTACACAGTCATTATTACACTCAGGCTCTTCTGTAATACTACTATGGCTAAATAATACCAGTTATATATATATTTTGACATTATTAGGCGATCCTGTAGTCACAAGCTGAACAGCATTTTTTGTGAGCTCATGCTGCGTGCACCAGCTTTGGTTGCTCATTCAGTACTGAGGCTCTCACACCCGGGAATGTTGCCCACGATTTTTTTTTTAAATGGTGTCTGTTTACAAGAGCCCTGAGGAAGCTGATGTGAACTCCATGTAGCCGCGGGAGTTTTGAATCATACGTTAAAAATAAAAATAAAATAATAAATAAATATTTATTGTTGGGAAGGTGGTGGCAGTGTTTAATGATTTTAATTATTAGTTATAAATTAATAACCCCTATTCTTGTTGTGTTCTCCTCATTTAATATTCAGCTTATATTCGTGGCAGTTCAGTGAGGGGTCATACTGAACTGTAACAGTGTTAAGCTGGGGTATTGAAGAGAAAGAGAGAGAGTAAGCAGGTAAGAAAGGGTACATTACATCCATACAAAAATGTTTGATGGACAAATAGCCAGCTTGTCACACTTTTAAATTTAAAGCCAAGGTCTTACCCATATATTAGTGTCTTTGATACATGTATGGTCTTTATGTAGAGCATTCAGTACAGGATACAGATATTTATGAATATTATATATTTACTAAGAACAGATGTAATTAGCACTAATTTCCGTTCATTTTGTTACAGGCCAGTTTGATCATGCAGGTGTTGCAGCTGTCAGATGAACAGATAAAGATGCTGCCGCCAGAACAGCGAGCATCCATCCTTCAATTAAAAGAACAGATTCAGCGTTCTCAACACTGAAACTCTAGCATAAGTTCATATATGTGTTTAAAAAGGTGGATCACAATGACTACTTATACTAGCTAAATATAACTGGTATTGCCCCTTAATTTTATTTTGTTCTTAAATCTTTCACAAATATGTATTTTGAGTTCCTGTGCCAATGTATATTTTCTAGGGAAAACATAAGTAATTTAAACCCTATTCACTGATGCAAACTATACCTATTAGCCCACTACTACTTTCTTCCACATAAAAATTATTAATTTATGGTACAGCTATATTTTATTGATTTATATAATTATGTTTACAAGGAAAAATAACAATTGGTTATAATTCCAAATTAAATATTTCTTAATTTTTTGCTACATTACTTTACTGATTATAATTTATCTGTCAAGTATGATGCGTAACTGTGCTATAGTTAAGGAAATAGACGTTGACTCAGGGTTGACCCATTTTTTTATTATTTTTCCAAATTTTTATAAATGAGTAGTAGCATAATTGTTGTATAGAGAAAATATAACACTTGCCAGTGTACAAATTAATTCAATAAAGAATGAAGCAGTTGAGTCAATTGAAGTATATTATTTTTTAGTAAATTAGAGTTATCATATTTTGGTTACCTTTTCTTATGCGAAAATATAAAAAAAGCTAGAAGGAAATTAGGATGAATGATTATGTATATTTCAGAAATTACATTTACAGATGTGATGCAACTCTTTTAATACTTTGGTAAATGTTTCTATGCTTTTATTATTCATTTCGAAGTCAAATATCTGAAGATAAATCTACTCTCTACACCTTAAGAATTTTTAGTGGGAGTTTTATTTTATTTTGTTCACTTTAATTTCAGCAAGGGTGTGAGGGCCACTAATCAAAGTGGCTGTCATACTGTGGACACGGTACACATTTGTTTGGAGATAACTATGTTTTCAAGCTTTGTAACTCCTTAATGGTAGGTCTTGATAATGCATCCTCTTAATAACTTCATATTTATAGTAGTATACATTCTGTTTGGGGCATAAAGTATGTTGTGCTATATTTCATTGTTTTTATTTTAAGTGCTTGTTTTGGGAAATACAGTATTTGTATTTTTAACGAGTTATTGAGTATCGTAACTAACGCCTCAATTTGAGTTACATTAGAGTTTGTGAATTTATTACTTTTGATAATTTATGCACTGAATTTCATCAGATGCTCTAGCTTCCGGGTGGTATTTTTTTGTTTTCCATTTGTTAAAAATTCATTTATTTAGGGAGAGTATTTTATCAGTACCTTTCAGGTACTGATTTCATTTTATCAGATTTGGTAAATATGTGCCTTGGCATCAGTGTCATTTTTGAGACCAATTTCTATTAAGTGTTTGTAGATGCTTTACATATTGGTACAGGCACATGAAAAAACTGTGTGAAACAAATTCATGTAAATCAAAATTGTTATTTGGAAAATTAGGGATGCATTCCAGAGAGCATGTTAAGAAAATTTTTACTGTTTCTCTCATGGTACAGTACTTGGCTGAATATTTTTACAAAGTACTCAAAAGATTCCATATTTGCCCTCCCGAAAGAGAGTGAAATAGGCCAATATAATAGCTTGCCAGTTCACTTAACCCTTTCATTTAAGCGAGTGTCAGTGAGTAGAAGAAACATGTACTAGAACAGTCGGGATTCTCTCATACCATATCTCAAATAAAGAGAGATGTGAATTGGTAACAACAAATTTTTCATATGTATGGCATTTCACATAAAATGTTGAAGCATATTTTTAGTTGTGGAAGAGTGTACAGTACAAAATATTACAGTAAATCACACTACTGAATTCACAACATTTTGCATATACAGTTGCTTCTTAAAATTAATCTTAGCATAGAAACAGATGACATATTGTAAAAAAAAGATTATGAAGTTATTAAATAGACATGTGAAAAGAAATATAACTATTGAATCATGTATTTTAGCAATTAGGCTCCCCTGGGATGGGAATTGGGAGGAGAAATAATAATGAAGCCGTAGTGCCCCCTTCCCCCAACATACAGAGGAAAAGAGTAAGTGTTTGGTTATGTAATATAATCCATTGATTTTGGCTTCATATGGCAAGGTTGTGGTGGCATTTTTAGGGAAGAGATGCATTATGCAGTAAAGTGTCAAAGTAATCATTTTCATGGTGTAGTAGATACATCAATCTGATATTTGATAGATAGTAGATCTTAACACTTTCGCATTCCCGGGAAGTAGTTGAGTCCACATAACTCTGTGGATGTCTGCCTGGGACGTATGTGGCGTCCAAAATTAAAATATTTGTTAAAACTCTATTTTTTATCCGATCATTATGGGACATGTTTTGCACCAACTTTGCGCCAACGTCTTCCCATTTTCTCTTATGGCTCATGTGACATCATGGTACTGCATGCCGTCGTAGGCTCATTGTTATTGTCTGAAACCTCGTGACCTCTGCGGTCTCCCCTTGTGCCCAAAATGTGTACCTGTTCCGGCTATTTTCCTCAGCTATATTTGTTACTGCCTTTATACACTCTTACATTTACTCAAAGATGTATTCTGATCAAGAACAGAACCAGTCCAGGACAAAAACAGTGAATGAAACACGTCTGAGGGAGAAGCTAAGTAATGTTTGCCAAAAGTACAATAAAGTGAAACTCACACCAACAAAATTCCTGGCTTTTGTTGACAAGTTTTCTAATCTTGATCTTGAAAGTGACAAAAGTGACATTGATGTAGTTAATGAGGTGATTAAAACTGAAACAGCAGGTGAGGATGAAATTTAAAGTGAGGGGAGTGATGATTCTGATGTTAATACCACCACAGACACACGTGCAATCCCTGCTATTAGAACTTGTTCAGCACGTACCCCCACGCACCTGTTCTGGTGAACCCTGGTCTACTGACAACACTGCAACATTTGTAGACAGTTTTACAGGAACACCAGGCTTGACTGTACCAATACCAAGCACTCCTCTGGGATTTTTAGTTATTTATTACATGAGATTTGCTGAAATTTATGGTATATGAAACAAACTTGTATGCATCACACAGCATGTCCAATGCTTCTAACAACGCAATAAGTGGGATGAAGTATAAAAGAGCTTGCCAGATATTGGTAAGACAACGATTGAAACAGTTATGGGTTTAATGGAACCATTGAAGAACAAAGGTTACCTTTTATTTATGGATAACTACTGTAACTGTTCAACTGAGTGAAAAGCTGCTTGAACAAGGTGTATACACCTGTGGTACTCTCAGATTGCAGTGTGGTACACCACAAGATCTTCAACTACAAACAAAGGGTAAACTGCCTGTAGATAAAACTGTATTCTGACGGAAGGACAATACTTTCATAATTTTGTGGAAAGATAAGCGAGTTGCTTCACTGATCACAACTTTCAACACTGCAGATACACAAGAAGTGGAACGAAGGAAACGAGTATGCAAACGTGACAAAGCATCTTCATTGCAACAGGTCACTGTGAACAACCAAACGCAATCTGTCCCTGCAATTACCACATGAAAGGTGTTGATCACTTCGACCAAATGGTCAAATATAATTTCACACTGAAATGTCACAAGTGGACGAAGAGAATCACTTTCTACTTTCTGCAAATGACTATCCATAATGCTTTTGTGTTATACAAGTACTGTACTACACAACAGATTCAAAGAAACTCTGCTTCGTGGAAATGGAGCAATGAATCATTGTCACTACTGAATTTTGAGTCTGGCCTCTGGCTTTTGAATTGGCCTCTCCAAAATTACATCATACATGCTGGTGATGTACATAAGCAGATCTACTGGTGACAATGTTGCAACACACGGACCATCAGGTGTGAGGCGGCCATTATTCCCATCTTCACTTCGAGATGAAAATTCATCATCTGACTTGGAAGACGAGAGTCAGATTACTCCTGGTGCTGCTGCTAGGAGAAACCCTCATTTCGTCGGTAAACCAGAACGTCTGAACAGGAACTTGAATCATTCCCTAATTTGCATCAAGAAAGGTCTGAAGTGTCATGTCTGCTACATGGAAGGACAGCAGGTAAAAGTGCAAGTCGTGTGGTGTGGCACTGTGTCCTGCACCATGCTACACCTTGTACCATCGCAAGAGGACATACCAAGTGGATAAGCAGTAATAATTACCCACCATCCACTCCACCTATAAAACATGGGTTGAGAAACCTCAGGAAACCTTTTCCTGGAGCAGGAGTGGTTCAACCTAATGCTCAACTCATGCTCTTAAAATCATCATTTGGTGGTAAGTACAGAGCTTTTTTTCCATTTATTTATACATATGATATTGTGGTACAAACACTTATGTGAAGGAAGCAACACAAAAAACTGATATCGTGTCACAAATAATGTCGGAAATAACAAATGTAAAATACAGTAATGACAAAAACCCGTTTTTCACTTGACGATATATTTTATCTTATGGTATTGGTAATGTTGTTCTTCCATTTGCCCTTATATGCATATATATTCCTTTAGAGCTTTCTATTGTGAACGACATAACACAAAAATTGATGTTATCAAAGTGAAAAAAAAAAAAGAGTCACAGGTAACGCTTGGCCGATTTTTGGCTTTGCTGCAGGGGGAGGGGCTTTTGGATCTTGTGTGCATATACCCCTGTAGGGAATTCTATTGCGAACAATTTGATAACAAAATGAACGACGTACAACGAAAATTGAGGTGAAAAAACTGAGAGTACTGTATACACATTCTGGTGTGGCCGCACGCTCACGGGAAATGCTCAGCTCACCTCGGGGTAGGTTAGGGCGCCCATACCAGGAATGCGAAAGTTTTAAGTGGTTGACATATTACTCATTTTGGGTGTGTGCCTTCAACCCGTTCTCGCAAATTTAATAAGTCAATATTGACTTATCAAATATGTGCATAGGTGACATACTTAACATAATAGATACCCTTAAAAAGATTCATAGAAAACACCGACCTTACCTAACCTTGTTAGTATCTTAAGATAAGCATCTTATTGCTTCGTAATTACAATTATTACCTAACGTATAATTGGTATAGGTTAAGTAATAATTGTAATTACGAAGCAATAAGATGCTTATCTTAAGATACTAACAAGGTTAGGTAAGGTCAGTGTTTTCTATGAATCTTTTTAAGGGTATCTATTATGTTTAGAATATCACCTATGCACGTAGTTAATAAGTCAATATTGACTTATTAAATTTGCGAGAACGGGTTGGTGCCTTTTATACCAGTGTTTGTAATTTGTTATAGAAATCAAACTCTTTGTGGTAGATATGAGAATATAATAGACAAAATCTAATAGTGGAGCTATAACTAGTGGTAGAGATAGGAAGCTGGAATGCTTAAGAATGTTGTGATAGACTTGAAAATCTAACTTTTATAGTGGAAAAAGAATTATGAAGTTGAGTTCAGCAGACCATCTGTATTCATGGTAATAATTTTGTCAGACACTGATGAATTGCAAAATTGTGAATTCTAAGACTAACAGCATATAAAAACAGGGAGATAGGTCTCCCAGTGCACAAATACAGTACAACAATTCAGTATTTTGAAGAATAAAGGAGGAAAATATTTTAAAAGTGATTGTGTGCTGTGAATGATTGTATACTCAACTTCTGGGACCCAACATTGTCACTTGTTCCTATGGCTGTTGGCCCTTTTTCTTATCATACCTACTCTTAAATTATGGATGGAGTTGGCCTTAACTATGCTCACTACTTCTCTTCTCAACTCACTACTCATACACAAAGTGCTTCCTTGTCTTTATGGCTCAAACAAGTTTCTAGTTTCCACCTATATCCTCTCATTGTATCCCTTGTTCATACTAAACTTTTTTTTCTTGTCCAGTCAATGCCAGTCTTTTATATCTTTATCACAGTGTCTCTCTTTCCATTTCTCCTTCCAGTCTAGTTCTCTCTCTGTCCTCTCAGTTCAGGGACAAGTCTTGTGTGGAAATTCCACATTGGCAAGGAGTAAAATTCTAACCTGAAGACAAGGGAATAATGAATAATAAAGCAGAACATGGCAATTGATAAAAGAAGCTGGGCTCCAGCAGAAGTGGGCAGGGTGGGAGTAGCCCACACCTCGCCGAATGCTACGAGGGAGGAGGAGGCAAAGGCAAGGTAACCGGAGGCAACGCCAGGAGAAAGGACCGGCCCTGTAACAGATGGCCCTTTCACAGGTCACAGAGGCCAGGAGGGTATGACACATGGCAGCAGGCTAGGCAGACAGGAGAGGCAGCGCTGTTGTCGGGCAAGAGGCGACAGCAAGTCGGCAGAAGACAGGCGGTGGAGAATGGAGCTAAGAGACGGGAAAGGGGGGGGGAGCAGTAAGTAATTATCAAGAGTAGGTACCAAGCTGGGGAGACTACTTATTATCATCAAAGATGCAGGATGTTCAAAAGGTGCTAAATATCACCAAGGATGCCAATACGAGAACAAAAGCACATAGGGAGAGTGATATCAAAGGTATCCTCCTATATTGACATCCTTTCCTCCCTTTTCTAGAATTTTCTTGGCACTATGTTGACGATCTTGCCCTCTGCTGCCGAGGTGATGACTCGCCTTTGCTCCAATGACAATTTATGTCGTGTCGTCTTGGGCCTCTAATCATTGCTTCAAGTTCTCTACAACTAAGAGAATCAACTCAACTGTGATTTTTACTCAAAGGTAGGTCATTTTTCGCCCCCTTTTGTCACTCTATGGCAATTCTCTTTTTGTGTAAAGATTCTGTTAATCTTTTGACATAAATTTGTCTTGGTTGCCCCATATCTCTTACCTCCAAGTTGAATGCTCATAACTTACTTAAGGTTTTGTCCCATACTTCTTGGGGACCTGATATACACACACTTCACTACACTATTTACATTCCTCTCTCGTGCTGTCTAAACTCTATTATGGTTGTCCCGCTTACTAGTCTGCCTCTCCCTCAACTCTTTGTCGTCTTTATGCTCTTCACCATACTGTTACACCTCAGCTCTGGTGCCTTTCTTCCCACCCCTACCCTGAGCCTGTATGTAGTAACCAGTATCCTGTCTGTACAGTACCATCGTGATCGATACAGTAACTCCATAGGGTCATTGTTATAGTACACAGGTGATGACTTATTCATTGACTTGTGCTACTGCAATGCATTAAATGAAGAAAAAAAATGCAGCATTGAATGTAATGAAACGTCATTTTCTGGGCGAGACCCAGAGGCTCCCCGGAGTTATCCAGGCTGATATGGATATATTAGACTTTGGCATCAAAGTGAATGGAGTTCTAGGCCTACCAGTGACCACGAGCCAGAACCTGGCCCCC